ACACGTGCACACACACACACACACACACACACACACACACACACACACACACACACACACACACACACACACACACAGGCGCACGTCGGAGCACCAGCTGCTGTTGCGCCGCGTTGCAAGTGCGTGCACCCTTGGACTCCCACACGCGATGGAATCCGTGCAAGGGCTGCTCTCCGACATGCGCCAGCACGCCCACCCAAGATAGCACGCCTAATTCACTAGTTTTGATGCTGTTCACGTTTACCGCCACCGCTAGTCCCGAGTTACCCACTTGCCATCAGCTGTCATCATTGCGCACTGTTCTCAACACATTGATGTTGCACCCGACCTCGTTTCTCGCTCTTGTACTTGCTTTGACAACAAGCAAATAAACACCATTCATGCCATGCGACGGCGAACCGTCAAATGACACATGTGGCGAACCAAGAACATCGTGTTAGGAATAAGACCAAGCAACACTCCATGTTTCCACCGCCACAACAACACAAGCAAATGTACACAAGAACGGCCAACAGCAAACGCAACACATCGCAACGCACTGCGTGAGCTGCAACAAAGGCGACGGATGAACAAACGCCCATGCTATTTTCTGTTTCCACGCAGACACCATCATCAAGAACAGAGATCTATCAACGTCATGCAAGCAGACGACCACAACCAGAAACCCACAAGCACTCATGCACACACCACACACTCACACACTCACACAAGAACGCGCGCACACACACACACACACACAAACAAAGCAAACACACAAGCACAAACAAACAAACAAACAAACAGACAAACAAATACGAGCAAACACTCAGGCACGTGCATGCCATCTACATGTGATGGTAGCCGCGCCCGTCCTTGCGCCTACGAAGGCGCCGACCCATGCGCTTGAAGAACCCTTCACGCATGCGCGGGTTGATGTACACTTTCGGGTGGTGCGCGCTCTCGTTCATGTCGTCGCCGACATCATCGTCATCGTCGTTGTCGCCGCCAAGCCGTGTGTCGTCAGCGATGCTGTCGTTGGTGTAGAAGCAAGGGGCGGACACGGTGGACGCGTTGCGCTGCGTCATGTCCATGAGGTGGTTGCGGTACTCAGCCAGGTCTGTCATGGGAACCACACCACCGCCATCGCCAACAATCGCGCTCACGCTGTGCTGGTCGCTGCGCGCCTTCTTGCCCTTTCCTCTGCACTTGCCCTTCTTCCCTTTCTTGCCAGCGACACCAGCTGTGTGTGGTGCGGGTGTGCTCGCAACTGCCGCCGTGCTGTTGAGTGCCAGCATGGCGTCTTGCTTGCGCCACGCTGGCGTCTGCTTCACCACCGCGTCCTGCTCCTCACCACTGCCCGCATCCGGCTGCCCGCGCGCGCGCGTCGCCTTGCTGGCCGGCGGCGGTGAAGGCAATGACGATGATGACGATGAATGTGGTGGTCCTGACGAGCCCGTGTCTGAGTCGTCAACAGAAACGGCGGCAGCAGCGGCGGTCGCGCGCTCGGCATACTCCCGCTCGCGCGCTTCCTGCTCCTCCATGAGCAACTGCACCTGTTTCTTGAGAGAGCTGACCTGCTGCACAGCCTCGCGGCGCTCGCCGTCCTTGTCACGCAGCGCCTGGATCAGCGTCGCCTTCTCCTTGCGCACCTGCTCCGTGGTGGCCATCAGCTCCTCTTCAAGCGCCGTCACCAGACTTGCAAGCTCCGTCTCCCTCGCGTTGTGCTCCTGCCGGGTTCGCTCAATCTGATGTTGCAGTGATTGGACGAGGAACGAAAGGGATAGGAGAACGAGAGTCAAGGGAAAGGAGGAGTGAGGGAAACAAGCGGATAGGGGGGGGGACGAGTGGGCCGTGGCAATACAGCGTATGAGCGTGTTTGCAAGCCACACGGCGTGTTGTGTGTGTGTGTGTGTGTGTGTGTGTGTGTGTGTGTGTGTGTGCGTAGTTTCGGTGGGTGAAATATGTTTGTGCTGTTTTCAATCAAGACAAGGCTTGGCACAAAGAAAGCTGGAGACCGCACACACACACACACACGTGCAATTCCTTCAGGAAATACCCTGTTCCCAGCACCACCCATTCACCTCTTGTTGATGCTCTTCATCGCGCGTGGCCATGTGCTTCTTGAGCTGCGCCAGGTCCTCCTCTGCCCGCGTGCGCTCACGTGTGGTTTCGTCCACTTGCCCTTGCAGTTCTGCCCAGCGAGCACGGATACGGACACAGACCACACTTGTTGATGAGAAACAAGTCCAAACAACCTTGCATGCAGCACAGGACAAAAACAAAACCGAAAACAGAAACAAAACAGGCAAACATCAACAGGCAAACATCGACACGCAGTCCGACCCCCCCCCCCCCCCCCACACACAAACTTCATCACACCAAAGGTGAGCAATCGTAGTTTCACACCCCATTCACCGCCTCCCCCAACCTCTCCCCGCACCTGCAACGAGGGTGGACTTGGCGTCGAGTTCTTGTCGGAGAGCGCCCAACTCAGCCTCTGTCTTCTCACGCAGCGCCCGCATGTCCCGCGTTAGGTTCTCAATTTCCTCCATCTGCTCGCTAATCACCTGCTGGCTGCACTCGGTGTTGCTGCGCGTGCTGCTGACAGAGTCGTTTGTGCTTGCAGCAACACGGCCACCGGTGGAGGCTGTGGATGTGTTGCTCTGCGTCGCCGCATCCGCCAACTCCACACCCGCAGTCGTAGCCGCTGTTGTGGTCGCAGCCGTCGTGTTGGTGGTAGTGGTGGTGGATGACATAGTCTGTGGGTCTGGTAGCATGATGCCGCTCACGCGCTTGGCAAGCTTAATCTGCTTCTCAAGCTGCCGGCGCTCAGCCTCCCACTCCTGCTTCATCTCGTGAACATGTTCGGCGTGTTTGTCGCGGCACGCCTCTGCCGCTTCGCGCGCCTTCACCAGCTGTGCCTGCAGGCAATCGAGGTCCTCACGCACGCGCCTGTTCTCGTTTGACGCGTCGTCGACCTGCCGCTGCAGCCGCACCTTGTCCTTCTTCAGCGCATCAATCTGCTGCTCTGCGTCGCCCAGCCGCTGGCGCAGGCCGCTGAGGAGGGTGCTGCTGTTGTTGCTTGCACGCATACGAAGACGCTCAATCAGAGTGGTGGCCAGCGTGTTGGCGGAGTTGAAGTGGCGCTCAATGTCATCAAACACCTCGCGCCCCTCGCTCACGCCCTGAACAAGAGTGAAGAGACAATGACACGCAGACACAGACAGGTGAGATGAAAGGATAAAACTGACGCTGCATGTCTCACCACACCAAATAACAAAACCGACACCGTTCAACAAACAATAGCAAGCGACACACTCACACATAGAAGCACACGAAAGCACATCTACACACACACACGCACGCACACACACGCACGCACACACACATCCATACACACATGCACACAGCCTACGGAAGCTACGCGCAACTCTGCACCTTACACCTCAACTCATTCTCTCACGCAAACCGCCACACCACTTACGTACCGATTGGTTGGAAGAGGTCTGGGAGCTGGCAGAGCTGACGTAACTGCCGTCCGCAGAGTGGCGGGCAATGAGCTCGTCCACATCCAACAGCTCAGACAGGTCGTTGATCGTGCTGTGCAGGTCATGTTCCTCTGCCCAGTGTGCTGGTGTGCGCGCCGCCTTGTGTGCACCTCTGCTGGCCACAGAGCCTCGAAGCCCACCCAGTGCAGCCGACACAGGCTGTGGCTGCTCGGTTGCATCGACCTCGTCTTCATCGTCGCCCATGCTTCCATCGTTGCGCATGGACATCTGGCTTGCCATGCCACCATACATCAGCTCTGCTTGGCGGAAGATTCGCAGCTTTTCGGCGAACGTGCAGTGGCGCATACTGCGCAGGTGCTGCCTCAGCATGCGTTGCTCCTCCTCCTTGCGTGTGCGTGGCGAGTTGCGGCCAGCGCAGTTCTTGCTTGCCGATTGCAGAATGCGGCTTGCTGTCCCAAACGGCTCGCCAAGGTACGTCACCCGCGCGTTCGGGTGCATGCCACGTGCGGACTGTGGCGGGGCCCGCAGCTTCTGTTTGGCATTTGGCAGCGACAGCCGCACACGCGCACCCTGCTTCACAAGCCGCTTGCTCTGTCGTGGTCGCATCTGCTCGCCGCCATGTTCCGGACCGCACTCTTCCTGCTGCTCCTGCTGCTGTTGCTGTTGCTGTTGCTGTTGCTGTTCTTCATTGTGTTGTTCCTGTTGGTCAACCTCCTTCTGCTGCTGCTGCGAAGACTTGTCGTCGACTTTCACTTCTGCGACTCGCTGCTTCTGCTCGCGCTCGCGCTTGTACTGTCGCGCCTTCTCGTACACTTTTGGAGTCTTGGGAAGTGGCTTTGGCGCTGGCTTCTTGCTGCGGCAAGGAACGGGCGGTACTCCAGCTGCGGCTGCGTTCTCGTCACGGAGACTGTCTCCCACAGGCATCTCCTTTTTCTTGTCATCGCTGTTGTTGCTGCTCCTGGTGGTGGCGATTGCTGCGTTGCCCTTGGGGCGAGTTGAAGTGTACTCCTCGTCATCGCCGAATCTTGTCTTGTGTGCTGTCGTGCAGTTGCTCTGCCACAGGTGCAACCAAACCCAGGCAGTTTGTGAGCTTACATGACGTTTGCGCTCGGCTTGGTATGCTGAACGGACTTCGCTTCAAGTGTGCGTGGTTGTTGGACACACGAGCACATGCAGGCATGGACAAACAACATGCTCATCCACACATACCAATACATGCACACTCATGTCCACATACCGACACGCCCACATCGCACACACGGAAACACACACACGCAAACACACAAAAACACACACGCACGCATTCACAGGCGTCCACATACACACCCAAACCACCGACTAGGACGAGACCATGACCAAATAACATGTGCAGATATCTCAGTCTCACCAGTGGGGATCGGTGAGCGTGTCTGCCGTTGTTTTGCTGGAGCACCTTGGTGTATGGGGACTTGCTGGATGGCTTCTGACCACGTGCGTTGCGCTGTGTGGTTTGCGGCATGTCAGATGCTTGGTTTGTTGACGAGGGTGTGTGGTTCTCGCTGTAACACTCGAAGCTGTTGTTGCCGTTCTCTTTGTTGTGTTGCTGGCGGTGGGTTGCGGCTGTGCTCGGTGTAAACGGGTGGCGCCACAGCTTCACGCTGGCCGGGGGTGTGGAGTTGGGTGATGGCGTGATGATGGGCGTGATGAAGCGACGAGAGACAGCGCTGTTGTTCTCGGCGTCATTATTGGTCGATGCGTTGGCCTGGCTGTTCTCCTTGTCTCCCGTCAGCCACACGCGTGCCACAGACTCATCGCTGGAGGTATCAGAGCTGTCGTTGGTCGACGAATTGCTCTTGGCCGCGTTTTCGCTGTGCGTTGAGCTGTTGAAGATCTGGGACGTACTTGCGTCCGCATCAAGCTCATACGAGACGGCAGAGGCCACGCTGCTGGAGGTGGACTGCTTTGTTGCTGTGCGCATCACAGCCGGCGTGTCCAGCTCATACACTTGCATTGAGGCTTGTGACCAGCGGACGGGCGAGAGGCCAGGGGAGCCCTGCAGCGCGCGCTTGTGCATTTGAGGGTGTTGCTGTGGCTCGTATCGCTGCTGGTGCGGCGTGCTGGCTTTGCTGGAAGCGGCATCGTCTGTGCCCGGCGTGCTCTCCACCGGTGACAGCAAGGCCTGATCAATGAGGCGCTGGAAGTCGGCCTGCAGCACACCCATTGGGGTGCCGGGCGACCCCATCATCCCTTGTTCACCGTTGTCTTCCATGTGTGAACGGTCTGTGTGTGTGTGTGTGTGTGTGTGTTTGTGTGTGTGTGTGTGTGTGTGTGTGTGTTGTGTGTCTATGTGTCTGTGTATGTGTCTGTGTGCGTGTGTGTGTCTATGTGTCTGTGTATGTCTGTGTGTCTGTGTGTCTGTGTGTCTGTGTGTCTGTGTGTCTGTGTATGTGTCTGTGTGTCTGTGTGTCTGTGTCTGTATGTTTGTGTGTCTGTGTGTCTGTGTGTGCTTGTTCGTCTGCTTCGATTCCCGAAATTTGAAATTTCCGCGGCAACACAACCACGGTCTTTGAAGATATGGCAACTTTTCATTAACCCACGTGTTTTGTGGAAGGTGAACAACAGCACACGCACGCACGCTGCATCCAGACCCGACTTGCGCATCACGCACACACACGCGCGCGCTGACCAACACACACACGCACACGCACACGAGCCACGATGTCGGCGATCATCCCAGATGAGCCAAGCTTCCCCCGTGGGGGAGCTCAGGCGCTCTCTGCACTCGAACGGCGTCAAATCCGCGAGCAAGCGAAGAAGGACGTCGAGAAAGAGGTGCGCGTGCGCGTGCGCGTGCTTGCTTCCAGCCATGTGTGGATCAGTCTGCGACAACTACTGTTTGTTGGCGTGGATGTACCTGTTTGCCACTTTCCCATAGCTGCTCATGCTGTCTCTGCTGCACATACCTTGCTTGGCCTTTTAAGCTGAGCGCTGGTGCGGACATCAGCGCACTCGGCCGCAAGCCCATCACCATTCCCAAGGGCAAGGACACAGACAAGAAGAAAAAGAAGCAAGCCGATGCTTCCAAGAAGAAGAAGACAACAAAGGCGGCAGCCAAGACGCAGGCGAATGACACTCCCCCACCCGTTGCCTCGCCCATCTCCTTCAAGGTACGTACGTGTATACGCGATGCGACTCTGCGATATAATTCTCTGTCTTGTTTTGGTTGCTTACTTGTGCGTGTGTGTGAGCGTGAGTGAGAAGGTGTATGTGTGTGGGTGTGCGTGTGTGCATCTGGACTCATGACGTCAGGCAGCCTGGTTATCACCACGATGCCTTGCCTGGCGTGCTTGGCCCATTGGCGATCCCACCCGGTATCGTTGTGTGCACACCTTACATTCCTTCACCTCCTCATCCCACACGTTCCCCTCACACAATGGCGGCTGTTTTCACCCCCGTCACCCACAGCGCCTGAAGGAGACAGCGTCAGTCGTCGGCGTTGTTCACGAGCTGCAGGACTTCAAGGCCAAGATTGCGCTCGGCAACGGGCTGTTTGGCATGCTGCACCTCAGCGACGTGTCGCCATACTACACCGACTTTCTCAAGTCCAAGGCCATGGAGGAGGATGAGAGTGACAGCGACAGTGACAGCGATGATGATGACGACGAAGGTATCGCACACCTGACATTGCGATCGAGAGCGCCAGCTGTTCTGTTTGCCTTATTCTTGCTTGTCTTTTCGTCGCTTGTCTTATTGTTGCTTGCCGCGGTACCAGTTGGGATCACCCATTGCAGTCAGCAGCGGCCCGTTTCGACGGCTGCTGCTGCTGCTGCTGCTGCGTGTGCACCGTTGCCATGGTTTTCGTTTGTTTTTCTGACTCACAACCCACTGCTGCTTGATGATCGCTCTGTGTGATTTGACAGACAAGAAAGACAAGAAGGAAGAAGTTGTCACCTTCCGCCGCCTCTTCTCTGTTGGACAGCAGGTGGGCGCAAATAGTGCACCAACAACTGTGTTGGAAGAACAACTATCGTGCTGTCAATGACATGGGTGTTTCTGGTTGATCTCTTGCACAATGACGCAAACACGTGCGCGTGTATACGTGTCTGGTGTCTCGTTTTGACCAATGCTTGCCATGCTCTGTGCTGCGCTGCGCTGTGCACCTACAGATTGTGTGTCGGGTGAAGTCCACCGAGCTCAAGAACAACCGCCCCATCATCAACCTCACCGTCAACCCCACCGCCATCAACAAAGGCCTCGAAACCGCAGCCCTCGTGAAGGTGCGTGCCGTGATGATGTTGCATGCACGAAACCGATGAGCATTGCTTGGCGTGCGTAACTTTGTGTGTGTGTGTGTGTGTGCGCGCACATGCATGGAGTCACCTCGATACACAAAACACGCATATTGCCACTGTTAACCTGTGTGTCGTGATTGCCTGTGTTGACTTTGCGATGGCCGTTTTAGGGCCGCGTGGTGGCTGCGTGCGTCAAGAGCATTGAGGAGCACGGATATGTGCTTGACCTTGGCGTGGGCCACGCCACAGGCTTTCTCTCCACCAACAACGCAAAGCCCCTCTGCGAAAAGGTAACAAGAGCTGAATATGCTTGCCGGGTGGAAGCAGTTGCACCACGCTGAGTGTGGGCTGCATGCCCTGTCACTGGTTTTCGTCAAACGTGTGCCCTGCCTGCGCACTTGTGATTGCTGTTGTTGCTACGCACACGATCACAAGTGTGTCAACGCACCCAGTCCGTGCTCGTTCATGTTTGCTGGCTCGCCCTGAAACATACCTCACTCACCCGTCGCTACGGCCACATCTCGCCGTCGTGCTTGTGCTGCTTCAGCTGGGCACGAAGTCCCTGGTCCCCGGCCACCCGCTCCTCGTCGCCCTCACCACCACCGTCAAGGGCGGCCGCGCAGCCAAGGTGGGATTTGGTTGTTTGTTTGTTTGGTTGGTTGGTTGGTTGGGTGATTGTTTGTTTGTTTGTGTGTTTGTGCGTGTGTGTGTTTATTTGGTTGGTTGATTGTTTGGTTGGTTGATTGTTTGTTTGTTCGTGTGTTTGTGCGTGTGTTTGTTTGTTTGGTTGGTTGATTGTTTCGTTGGTTGATTGTTTGTTTGTTTGTTTGTTTGTTTGTGTGTGTGTGTGTGTGGTAAGGGTTTTGTGAATGTGTCATATTGCATGTGTATGTGTACCATAGTGCAACACGTAGTAGGACGCACAACTCACATGAATTTCTCATCCCCCCCCCCAAACACACGCGCACATGGAACCGGGGCACGCTGCGGTGCAGGTGATTGCGGCGCCATCTGAGGTGGCCGCCACCAAGCTGACGGATGAAGAAGTGACATTGAAGCAGCTGCGCGCCGGTCTCCTTGTGGACGCCAAAGTGAAGGCCCACACCCGCTCGGGCCTCATTGCGAGCGCCCTCGGCTTTGATGCAAACGTGCACTACTACCACCTGCCACACGTTTCTGGTGGGGATGTGCAGAAGAGGCTGAAGACGGCCTATCCGGAGGGCAGCGTGGTGCCGGCTCGCATCATCTTCTCAAACCCGGCCGCGTCCTCCCTCAACCTCTCGCTGCTCCCCGCGCACATCAGCATGAGGGGCAGTGCCGCTGGCACCGGCGCCACGCTGGGCGCCATCGTGGAGACTGCAACGGTGCTTCGTACAGACGGGCGGGGCGGCGCTGTCCTTGACCTTGGCGCCGCTGGCCAAGGGTTTGTCGCGCCATCGCGCGTCAGCGACAAGAAGTCTGACGCCAGCCTGAAGAAGCTCAAACCAGGCAGCGTACACCGCGCACGCATCATCTCTGTTCATCCGATGGACAACATTGTCGCCGTCTCTCTCCAGAAGAGCGTCCTCGACCTCCCGTACTACAGATACGAGGTGCGTACCCACAGAAGTCAACTCTGTGTGTGTGTGTGTGTGTGAGAGAGAGAGAGAGAGAGAAAGAGACAGAGAGAGAGAAAGTGTATGTGTGTGTGTGTGAGTGTGTGAGGATTGGTAGGCTTGTGCGAAATTTCGTGCTTGTTTGGGTGAGTTTGCGCGAGTAAGAATGTGGTTCGTTGTCTGTTTGCTTTGTTGTGCTTGGAATTGATGTTTACGCCGCGGCCGTTGTGTCAGCTCCCTCACACATACATCATCTTGACCCCAACACCTCGTACATGCATCTTGCGGTGTCTTCAGGACATTCCCGCGGGCGCGGTGGTGGAAGCGACAGTGGAGTCGCTGGAGGAGTATGGTGCTCTCGTTCGCCTCTCAGACACTATCAGGGGTAAGGGATGCTCGCACTGCATGATGCATGTGTGTGTGCGTTTATGTGTTTGTGTGTGTGTGTGTGTTTTATGTGCGTGTGTGTTTGTGTGCCTTTCCGCAACTGCAGTCTCGCACATTTCTTCACTCACACACAAACACACACACACTCACGCACACACACACACACACACACACACACATGGCAACACGAAAGGCCTGGTCCCCGCGCTGCACTTTGCGGACGTGACACTGCGCAAGCCCGCAGTCAAGTTCCACCCCGGCGCCAAAGTCAAGTGCCGCGTTCTCAGCAACATCGTCACCAGCAAGGGCAAGCGCCGTCTCGCTTTCACCTGCAAGAAGGTGCGAAACAAAACACATCTTGCAGCACAACTCTCAGACGATGCCGTTATTCTTTTGTTCTTTGTTGTTTGTCGATGCACATCATCCCTGCTCAGCAATTCCTTCTTCCTTTGCCTCCATTTCCATTTTGCCCAAGCTTTCACTGCGTTTCCTCCGCCCGTATTATTGCGTTTCCACCATCCTCCACACGCCCGCAAACGTGCATACACCGCATGCTTCCACCAACATGCTTACGCCAACATGCTTACGCCAACGTGTTTCTGTTGCACCCAGACGCTGGTTGAGAGCGACCTGCCTGTCATTGCATCTGCTGCCAGCGCCCGTCGCGGCATGCTCGCCCACGGCTTCATCGACTCCATCCGCCCCTTTGGATGCATTGTCCGCTTCTACAACAACGTCAGTGTGTGTGTGTGTGTGTGCGTGCGTGTGTGGGTCTGTGTGCGTGCGTGTGTGGGTCTGTGTGCGTGGAATGACTCGAGGGGTGGTGCTTCTCTTGTGCTTCACAACAGATCAACGGTCCCAACATTCCCTGCATCTTATTCATCTATGGCTTACCCACTCTGATCTCCATGCCACACACATCTGCGTTGCGTGCCCCCCAATCTCCGCAACACACACACACACACGCACGCACACACTGTCCCCCTATGTCCTGCCTGTGATCACAGGTGAAGGGCCTGGTGCCGCTGAAGGAGCTGAGCGCGACGGAGAAGATCAAGGACGCTAGCGCATACTTCAAGGAGGGCCAGGTTGTCAAGTGCCGCGTCGTGCAGACAGACCAAGCCAAGCGCCGCATTGGCCTCAGCTTCATCCACACCGCTCTCAGTGAGGACGACATCAACAAGCAGCGCGACACCGTCACGTGCGTTGCTTCCCTGCGCACATGCATGTGTTGTGCGTGTGTGCATGTATTTGAGGTTTTGGTTTTGCTTGTGTTTGTGTTGGCTGGTCTCTCCTTCAA